ATATCCTCTTTGGAGGAAACTTTGAACAAAAGTAAGGCGGATTTTAAATGGGTGGTTAATGAGCGGGATAAGTTGCTGGAAGGGCGTCGCGTCTTCGAGGATGAGAAGCAAGCTTTGGCAGCCGAGAAGGTTGCACTGGAGAGTGAGCTGACCGAGACACGCCTGGCAAGGGACAAGTCGGCCGATGCCGCTAATGCCCTTGAGAAAGATTTGTCCTTGATGAAGCTTGAAGTAGAGAAACTTCAGAACGACCTTCAAGCGGCGAAAATGGATTCTCTAAAGAAGTTTGTTCAAGGGTTTGATGCTGCCACTGCTCAAGTGAAGTTTTTGTACGCCGATGTCGACCTTGGAGGCCTTGGCTATTTCAAAGAGATCGTGGATGGGCAGCTCGTAGATCCCCCCGAGGAAGATTGAATCTGTCTTTACAAACCTCTCTTGCCTTTTGCATTTGTTTAGCCTTCTAATTTCAATTCTCTGTGTAATTGACTGACTTTTGCGTATCAAGAATTTGTCTTTTTTACCAAGTTTAGCTTTCATGCTTCGTCGCTTTGTGTGCTGTTATTCTTTCCCTTGGTGAGACGAGTGTGACTTAATGATAAAGTTTCCAAGGATCTGGACTCTCACTTGATCAAAATCAGAGTTAAGCCCTACCAAGAAATCATAGACTCTATCTTGCTCAATATACTCTTTGAGCATTGCTGAATCATCTGAGCACTTGGCTTTTATGACCCTGTAATGGTCTAACTCCATCCACAGGGATTTGAGTTGATTGGCATACTCTGTAACAGTCTTGTTTCCCTGTTTTTCAGCCACAGTCTTCACCTTCACATCATATATTTGAGCAGCATCTTTAGCTTTGGAGTATGTCTGTTCCATGGCATTCCAAATCTCCTTTGCAGAATTAAGAAACATGCAAGTATCAGTGATTTCTGGGATCATGGAGTTCCATAGCCATGCCATGATCATAGAGTCCTCTTCATCCCATTTTGTAAATTTGGGATCTTCTTCTTTAGGAGCATCTTCAGTCAAGTGGTTAGCTTTCCCTTTACCTTTCAAAGTTCTACGAACAAGCTGGGCCCATTTTAAGTAATTCTTCCCATTCAATCGGTAGGCAGTGTTGAGGTTCTGCAGTTGTTCCTGAGTGTTATGAGACTCAGTATTCACCACTTCAGCAATTGGGTCTGCCATGTCCACCGTAGTACAACGATCCTAATGCAGTGAGTATGTATTTGATTGTTGCGATGGCAACTAAGAAACAACACTGCAAATCACAGCAGCAATGAAGGCTGGCTGTCCTAAAAAAAAATGATTGACAGCAATGAAGGCTGTCCAGGAATGAAGGCTGCAGTCTAGGGTTTTGGTTTGCGCAGTCAGAGGCGGCTCCCAGAATTTGAGAGCTTTGATACCATCTCAAATTTAGAGTAGAATAATTTTTCTTCTTATTATTCTGAATTGATGGGTACAATCAAATAAATAAACAAGTAACAGAAACAATCCCTAAAGTTTAGGGATTAAGATAAACTATAAATTAGGAAAAGATAAACTAATATATCTAAACTATATCTTAGAATATCTTATCACAGCTAATAAAACAGATTCTAATAAAACAGATTCTAACAATTATATATATCAGAAAGAATTTTAAACCTCTTTTTCATGGTTTATGGGATATGTGCCATTTGGACGGAAGACATAGGCTCCAGAATTCTGCAAGGGAAATTAAATTGCAGAGTTATATCACAGTTGGATGCTAAGAGACTTAAAAAGTGAAAACATACCGGAGGATAAATATGTTTTTAGGCCTTCCAAAGAAGTTCGTGTTCATTTTCAGTTCCTAAAAAAATTCATCTATTTTTTGTCCCATGTTTGTGGAAATGTGTATAAGAGAAACAGTTCTCAGAAGAAAATATTATTGATAATGAATTTGATAATGATACAAGAGAGGTGTATCTGCATATATACCTAACTGACTTAACTAACTCAAGAGTTAGTAAGTCAGTTAGACTAACTAACTAACCTAAAGATATAAGCTGAAATACAATCAGAAAATATATTTGAAATACACGGAAATAAGGCAACAAAATAAAAGTATTTATTATTCTATTCTTTTCTCTAATACACCCCCCACAAGCTCAAGGGGGATGAAGCAAAGTGGATTGATCAACAACATTGAGCTTGGAGCGAAGAAGAAGAAACCGCTTGGGAGATAGAGCCTTGGTCAGAACATCTGCAAACTGATGTTGGGCAGGTATATGTGACACAACAAGAGACTTGTTGAGCACTTTTTCACGAACAAAGAAGATATCAATCTCCATATGCTTGGATCTTGCATGTAAAACAGGGTTGTGCGAGAGTGCAACAGTGCTTTGATTGTCACAGAGTACAGTAGGAGTGTTTAGAGAAACTTTTAATTCCTTCAGTAGTGACTGAATCCATAAAACTCCAGTTACAGCTTGAGCTAAGGCTCTGTATTCAGCTTCAGTGCTGGATCTGGCAACGAGTAGTTGTTTCTTGGACCACCAAGACACAAGATTAGGACCAAGATAGATGCATGCTGCTGAAGTGGATCTTCTGTCATTTGGATCAGACGCCCAATCAGCATCAGTGAAAGCAGTAAGATTGAAGGGAGCAGTGTGCTTAGCAGGCGAGAAGACAAGTCTATGATTGACAGTGCCTTTAAGGTAGCGAAGAATACGTTTGACAACTTTCCAATGTTCTTCCATGGGAGAACACATGAACTGACTTACCTTGTTGACACTGAAGGCAATTTCAGGCCGCGTGATTGTGGCATACTGTAGTGCACCAACTATGGACCTGTACAGCGTAGGGTCATCAAATAGAGTACCATCTTTAGCAAGCTGTTGGCCACCAATCATAGGAGTGGAGATGCCTTTTGCATCTTCCATTTTGACCTTAGTGAGAAGATCAGTGATATATTTATCTTGGGAGAGTAGCAACTTTCCGTGAGGAAGAGACTTAACTTCAATGCCTCAGAAGTAGTCCAGAGTGCCAAGATCTTTAAGAGAAAAGATAGCATTGAGTTGAGTGACAAATTTTTGTAGCAAGGAGGGGGAGTTGCCAGTGAGAATGATATCGTCAACATAGACAAGCATAAAAACAGTGGCATTGGAGGTGGAGAAAGTGAAGAGGCTAGGGTCACACTTGCTTTTGCTGAATCCAAGCATGAGCAGTACAGACGTGAGTTTGTCAAACCAAGCGCGAGGAGCCTGTTTGAGACCATAGAGAGATTTGTGTAATTTATAGACAAGACTTTTATTTGCAGAGTCAACAAAGCCTGGAGGTTGAGACATATAGATGTCCTCCTCAAGCATGCCATTGAGAAAGGCATTGTTAATATCAAGCTGTCGAAGAGGCCACTGAAAGGAGACAGCAAGACAAAGAACAATGCAAATTGTGACAGGTTTGACAACAGGGGAAAAAGTTTCAGAAAAATCCAAACCGGGTTGTTGATGGAAGCCTTTTGCAACTAGCCGAGCTTTGTATTATTTATTGAGCCATCAGGGTTCTCCTTTACACGAAAAACCCATTTGACTCTAGGCGAGTTCAGGGGAGTGTAAAAGTCGTATCTCCCCCCTTGCTTGTCCTAGCAGTTTTCTTGAACTGGGTGTCATTGTTGACCTTGATCTTGTCCTTGTGGGCCTGTTCTGGCTTCATTGGCCCCTTGTCGCGGACTTGGTCACGAAAAGCGGAGTGCTCCTCCATCTGGATGTAGCCCGCAGGACGGGCGCGGAGCTTGTCCATGTCGCGAGGAGCCTCACGACATAGGCTGTCGACGAACGGTCCGGGTTTGAGTGCAATGAGCATGGCATGCAGGGCGACGTCAGGGTTTAAATTTTGGATTTTGACCGAGATGTTGGCGAAACGCTCCATGAATGCTCTTAGTGACTCATCGTCGCCCTGGCGGAGGCTAACCAAGGCGGCCGATGTGACTTGGTGGGGTCGACTGGCGGCGTACTAGGCCGTGAACTGCCTCACCAGAGTGTGGAAGTTGTCGATGGACTCAGCTGGCAATTGGGTGTACCAATTGAGTGTGGCCCCTTTGAGCGAGGTCATAAAAACCCTACTCAGAATAGCATCGTTGTTAGTGTAAAGGTTTACCTGTGTTGTATACAGGTCGATGTGCTCGTCCGGGTCCGTCGTGCCATCGTAACGATCGAGGTGGAGGGGCTTCCATCCGTGAGGGAGTGGTGTCTCCATGATGCCATCCACAAAAGGGTGACGGCGAAAGGTTGCTTGATCCCCTGCGACATGAGTAGGGGCCCTGCTGACTTCATGGGCTGACTTGTTTGTCGGTGCATGAGATCGATGTGTGGTAGGGCATGGAGTCGATGCCCTAGTCGTAGTTTGGCGTTGAGAGACCGAATGTCCCTCTTCCTCGTGCAGGTTGCTCGCCTGAAGAGGATGATCAGAAGGGCGTCGAAGGAGCTGGGCGCGAATCCGCTCGTTCTCAGCGCGTAATGCTGCTAGGTCGGCTTCATTAGCGGTCCGTATCGCTGCTAGGTCGGTTTCGTGCTTGGCACGCATGTTTTGCAGATCGGCATCGTGTTGTTGTCGCATCTGTTCGACCTGGTCGATCAGTCTCCTCAATGTGGCTTCGTTATCCATGGTAGATGTGTGATCTAGGTCGTTTGTTACTCGTCTGCTATGGCTTCTGGTGCAAACCATAAGCGTGGCCGATAAGAGCTGTCTTGATCGGCCCCACGGTGAGCGCCAAATGTTCTTACCGGGGATCTGAGGTAAAGTTGATCCGCTGGGTAAGGTCGGTGAGCCTCCTTCGCTGGTACGCTTGATGTTCCAAGATGGGGGTGGTACCTGCAAAAGAGACTCTGATGCTAAAGTTAGGGTTTGTATGAGTATGAGTCTCGTATAAGTAATGCACGTACCTTGGTGTGAATTAGGGTTTTGTTGGGCCTTGGGCCTGAGATCAGTTATGATCTGGTTAGATAGCGGATCTCGTCTAAACCGAGATCTCTCAATGCATGTCCGAGGTCGTTCTGCGCTATGATACCGAGCTCGAGCTCGGCATGGCGGTACGGATAGTACAGATGGTAATGGGCCGCGCTCCATGGGGGCGGGTAATAGTAAACTCGCCCCTGTCTCGTTAGATGAAAATTGGCCCCAAACTCACATCATATTCGTGCGGGTATTCATTAAGCGAGTACCCATGAATTTCTTGAATACCCACGGATATTCATGGATATCCATGAATATTTATAAATTTTTTAAGAAATTAAAAAAATTATATTACAAATAATTTTAAGTTTATATTTAATGTCATTGAAATATTAAAAATAAAAATTCAATGTTAATTTTGAACTTGTATTTAACGTTAATTTTGTTGATATAATAATAAAAATGCAAGATAATCAATAACTTAAAATATATCAATCTGACAAGTAAGTTAAAGTCTCGTCAGAAAGCTACAATAATTCAATCTCATAATTTCAAACAAAAGTAAACAACTTAAAATACATAAATCATATTGGTCTAATCAAAGCTAGAAAATTAATCAAATTACATTCAACATAATTCTATAACATGCTTAACACATGTTGGTAACTTCATCAACCTCACTTTTGTAAGAAAATAAGATGAGAGAGTGTAGTTTTAGGGTTATGTGGTACAAGAATAATTAAAATATTTAAGAAATATTATTAAACGGGTACCTGCAGGTATGAATATCATCATATCCACCCCCGCCCCGTTTATAAACGGGTAAAAAATTATCTGTCCCTATTATTTGTAGACCCAATTAGCTTATCCATTTATTATCCGTAGCGGATTTTACCCGCAGATACCATCGGGTGCGGGTATTTTTGCCATCCCTAGTATTGACATAATAAAACATTAATTAATAATGATTAATTATATTAATTATTAATTATTTGTAGTTATAAAAATGAATATAAATAATAAAATTACGCTAAAATTTATTTCAGAAAATTCTCATAAAGAATATTTCACGCGTAGAAAATGGTAAAGAAAATTCACATAACTATTTTTATATAATATAAATAAGAAAAATTACGCTAAATTTTCTTTCATAAAATCAAAATAAAGAACATTTCAAGTACAAAAAAATTATAATAAAAATTAATGTAAAAAATATTCAATTAAAGGAAATGGAAATTTTAAAAACATAATAAAAAATTAATTTTATTAATTATGAGCAATTTTAATATGAATATAAATAATAAAAAAATGACCAACTTCTGAAACATTATTTTTTCTTGAGATTTCCCACAAAAAAATTTATTATAGGAAATTAAAATTGTAAAACTCTAATAAAATAAAATATTAATTATATTAATTATTAATTATGGGAAGTTTTAAAATAAATAAAAATAAGTAAACAAAATTAAAATGGAACAATTTTTTAAGTATTATTTTCCTCCAAATAACTTTTGAATATATCATGTGTATAAGAAATTGTAATGGAAATTGATCCCGTAATTTTTTAAATGTAATATATTTAAGATCGGAA